ATATTTTCTTTTTATGAGCCACTAAAAATTAGAATTTGGTGACAAATTTAGGATTGGTTCAGGGAGTGACAACCAAGGCTTGTTGGCATTGCATAAAATTTGGAGTCCTCTGGTTTTGCTCTCCTGATAAGGTTCTGTGCAAGTTGGTGGAGAGCATATCGTGAGAGTCCAGGATTTGATTCGCAGACCAATTGCTGTGCCAAAGATTCAAAAGGCAATTAGACTTTCTTGGTTTTTTTTATTTGAAAACCTTTCACTTCTCTTCCAAGAAGCTTCTTTATTTCTGATTGAATTGTGGGGAATGGAAGGATTTATATTTTTGTATAGTCATCTGGTCATTTGTATTGTGAAGATTATTAGCTCTCTGAGAGACGTTGAGGCCACTTGGGGGTTTATCTCTACCCTCAGGATCACCTGAATCATAGTGCAAATGGGTATCTGGAACCTTTTTGGAATACCTACTGCATCCATAGTTTGCCTCTGTGAAGCTTTCCTTTTTACCTGGTCTCTCCTTGGAGCAATACCTATTAACTCTGAGAAGGCAAAGTATACCAGCAGGATTTCATTTTGTTTTAAAACGTCATGTCTAGAACACGGCCAAAAAATTCTGGCCTTTTGTGCTAGAGTCCTTACATCAGTTGCAAATTCATAAGTGATATAACACATGTTGTGTCATTTGTCTTTCTGAAGATGCACAAAGTTTGACAGACTCAGGGTTTTTCTCACCATTGCATTGAAGAACGCTCTGCCTATTCCTGAGTTGGCAACAAAATTCTTTTTTTTTTTCTGCCCCTGACTTCCCCCAAAGTTTATAGTGGTTTATTTTATACAAATTAAAGCTATCTTAAGAATACTGAATTTAACTCCGGTACAGCGAAGGATGAATTCATGCTGTTTCACTCATGGTCAGGGGATGAAATGAAGACAAAATGAGGCCTAAAATATGTCAAGGCATGTTTAGGCTGTGATTAGGTGTCAGTGGGGGAAAAACCCTGAGAGGGACAAAGCAAAAACCAAACAAAAGGTATCTCATTTTTATGTATGTTTTGGCTGAAGCTAATAAAATGGCTATGACTTAGATGATAGTTCCTAGTAGGATCATTTCATGCATTATACTTCCTATGCCTACCTTTTACATTTTTAAAACTGTGAAGACAAATAAGAGGATTGTGCGGTGAACCAGGTTGATGCCGTATGCTGACTGCCAAGCATTGGGTCGTTGCAATGTATAATGTAGGATAACCCTAGAGCAGGGGGTCTTCAAACTTGGCAAGTTTAAGACTTGTGGACTTCAACTCCCAGAATTTCTCCTCCAGTCATGTTAGCTCAGGAATTCTGGGAGTTGAAGTCCACAAGTCTTAAACTTGCCAAGTTTGAAGACCCTTGCCCTAGGGTATCAGGCAGGTAGTGACAGATTCTGTCAGCTTCTTAATTAAGGCTTTTGAAGATAGTTTTCTAAGATTATGAAGAAGCTTACTTTTTTTCAAGGAGGGAGTTTATTTGGAATGGAATCTCTTCCTCCCCAAAGTGCTTTTTCAGGAGGCAATTGGACTTTCTGGTTTTTCTTTGAAGACATTTCGCTTCTCCAGCTCTAACTTGATGGTGGGGAATGGAAGGATTTATACTCCTTGCAGATAGCTGGTCATTTGCATTCTTTTTAGAGAGTCATTGAGGCCACTTGGAGGTTTATCTGTGTCCTTAGGGTCACCTGAGTAGGGCAAATGGGTGTGGAGCCTTGGCTGCATGATGTTTTTTTTGCCTCGTGTCCCTTCACTGTTGAAGGTAGGTGCAGGTTGTTGGGGATGAGTCTGTGTTATCTACATCTCAAACTGAAGCACAAATGGTTCCTGTAGTCTGCAGTTTTTCTGGAAATCCATAGATCCCTTCCTTCTCAGAATTAAAACTTGACCTATCCATTTAGAGAGTTGCTCTTGTGCAGGAGTGCAAATCTGGAAGTACATTCACTAGTTACAAGGATGTCTTTTTTGCAAACTTTTTCAGGTCATTTCCTTGACTACTGTGATAAGTCAGCTTTCCTATCCTGTTATTTTGGGTCCATTTAAATACTCTAAAGCAGGGCTTGTGGCCCATGGGCTGAATGCATCACATGCTGGCCACACCCCCATCCTGTTTAATGAAGGGGGGAAAGTCCCAATACATCACGTGACGCTGCCATGACGACACAACTTTGACACCTCTGTTCTAAAGTATTAAGTTTTTTTCTGATCTCTTGGCTTTGGTCTGAGTGGAGTTGAGGGGAATGTAGTGCAATACATCTGCACCAGAAGAAAAAAGGTATGGTATGGCATCAGCAACAGAATATTGGTAAAGAGGCAAGATGGCAACTGTAGCAGAGGAAAGCAAAGCCCTATCCCTTTGTATGTACATATCATGATGACAAGTACAAATGGGGTGGGCCTTTGTGCTGCCACCATCACCATCTTGGTTTTTTTGGACTCTCCTGCAAATGCCACTGCATGTTAATATGAAAGAGCTACTCGTTTTTGTATTCTTGTCCAGAACTTTCTGCAAACCTAAGTGACTCAGATCCAATTTATTTAATCTGACGTTTTCATAACATTTAACAGCAATGTAGTGGTTTATCTTTATCTGATGGTAGATGTCAAATTGCTTCATCTGCTGGCTGCTTTATTTTCATTTGCTATTGGTTGAGTTCTTTGTTGTTTTTGGTTAAGTTTTTTTAAAGTGGTCCAGGTTTTTAAGCAAGATATATATACTGATGTAATTACTTCCATGTAATGCAACATCAAGCAAATGAACATGCATGGTTTTGCTGGCTGCACCAAATATCATGTCTTTATGTTCAGTTCATGTTCAACTGAGCAAAACTCCCATAACCAATTACTGACCGCTACATGATGTCTGGTGATAACTTTTCTTCCTATTTAAATTGTTAAAATGAAACTGTATTGCATCTCTAATAATGTCAACGATGAATTGTGGCTGCAGAATTCAAGGATATAAAACACGTCCCCTGTACAGAGTTACTCTGTATTTGTCTGTGACCTTTGTTGATATAGCTGTAATATTATAATCTCTTACTGTGTTGGTAATGAGCTGGCAAACTGCAATGTGGTTTTGAATTCATCTTGGAGGAGGAAATTTCATTTTCATGTCAGCTGGAAAAGAAAGAGATGAGATGAGGAACTGGCTGAGAGAACTCTCTCTTGTGGAGAAAGAACCAGGCTGCATCTTCTGGGAACATCTGAGCCCCAAGGGATGGAGGTGTGAGGTTCTACCAGCATTTTCACCAATATTTTGTCCTCTTGCCATTTCTGAATATATTCCATATTCAATTAGGCTTTTAAATGTTAAATGTGAGTGAAGATAGAACATTTCCTGGCTATCTCATGATTGCATACAGCTATCTGTGGGATAAGAAAAGATCAACTTCTCAATAATTTCTGACTTTCCCTTCTCCGTTTGGCTTCAGGCCCACCCATTTACTCATTAAGTTCAAAAATAGACAGCTGCTTGATCCATGTGGGAGGACTGGGGCTGTGAGGCTGGGAATGAGATGACACCACAATAAGTTAATGAGCCTGCTAGTGATTTTAAGCCATTGACCTATAGGGCAGGAGCTGAGTAACTTTTTTCTTTTTCAACTGCTGGTTGCCATTTCTCCGATCAGTCTCTCTTCAGTCTCTTCAGTGTTGTATTTCCAGCAAGGAGTTTCCTCTGTAGTTTATTTTCTGACAGTAGTGATCATTCCCCCCAATCCCAGCAGATATGATCCTTCCTGATTGAAGATCTTACTTGGGAGCTGCGTAGAATATCCATATATAGGTTAGTGCTGGTGCTTTCTGATAAACATCCAGAATAAGTATTTAACAGTCTCTTAACTGTTCTGCTCTGTCCTTAGAATCATAGGAACACTGTATTACAGTAACTGACTAGCGCAGAAAAATAAGATAACAAATTATGACAAATATAGCAAAATGCAATAATTATAAAACCCATGAGGTCAAATATGGGAGGGGGAAGGAGAGAGATTCTCAAGCAATGCAGCGTTGGAATACCTGGTCTCAACTGTCAGAATTAAAGATGGTTTGTGGTAATTATGACGGACTGTGGACACTATTTAAGAACGTAATGGTTGGTGAAATGGCTAACCACTGTATTTTTCAGGATCGATTTATTCCCTTGAATGTGAGCCAGAATTTGAAGTGATTTTGATTGTGAAGGTTGGCCCTCTACAAGTGGCTTATCTCCGCAGTAACATTACTTTTTGCCATATATACCTAGGAAATTTTCCTTTTGGATTTTTACATACAGTAAAAGGTGAAGCATCTTTTGCTGTAACTTAAAATTATGTTGTATTATAATGTGAATATGATTATGGAACCCCACTGCACAATGTCTTGATTTTTAAATCTCCAGGTCTCCCAGGCACTCCTTAGTTTTTAAATACGAAATAGTCCCCTCTGATATATGAGGAAGTGCATATAGATAACGACAACTAATCTCAAGTGAGATATGCAAATTGCAGGAGTAAGTTTATGTTTACAATTCCCGTGCTCTCAATAGTTAGTGCTCCACTGAATTATACAGTACTATTTGATATAAGCAGAGCAGGGGGGAAAATCTGCTCTTTGCTCCAAGTTCTTTTTTAAAAGTGAAATTCTGTAAAACAGCTAGATCCATAAGTGATCTCAGTGGGTTAATCAGGTAATGCAGATCTATTCTCTTTTAATGTTCCTTATATACATTCTTCTTGATTCACTTTTGTTTTTACCTGCTCCTTCGCTGTAATGATTTAGTAGCGAAGGTACTGCCTTTATTAGTCACCTTGCAGCAGTCCCAGGATATAAAGTTTAAAGCTAATAAGTGAAACAAATGATAAGTAGGTCCAACTTGCTTTTCCCAGATACAAGGATGTGTCCTACTTCCAAGGAACTCGAAGAAGGACATTGGGCAAAAAACATTGTTCATGTTTGCCTGAGTCCCATTTCTTACTTGTGGACTTTGGTCTTTTTCAGATCCGCTGGCTCCCTCCCTCAGAGGCTACTTCTCAGGGCTGGAAGTCCCGTCAGTTCTGCTGAATCCTGTGTGAGTACAGCACAAGCACCACTGGCCAGAGGCTCCAGCCGATCACCAGGGGAAGTACAAGGGCTGTGGCTTCTGTTTTTTTTGTGGTGTGTGTAGAATGAACGTCTGTGCCTGTGATTACTCACCCTTGCAGCTGTTTCCTTTCCCCCATCTCCATATATCTTCCCTGTGAAAAACTACACTTTGACAAGGAGGACACGCTTATGTAATTTGGAGGGGACAGATTTGTTGTTCTATCTATGGCATATTGTTATTAGTAATAGTATTAGTAATATTAATATTCTCGAAGCTCAAATCAGCATATACTGGAGTCCTAATTGTTAATTAAGAGAAACTGGGCCTGGACAGAGTGATGATTGAAAATCATGGTATTCAAGTGGGAACTGGACTCTGCATCTCTTCAAGTCCAAGACCAGCACCTGAACCATTGACTTAAATTAACTGAATTGGCTGAAATTAGAATTTGTAATGCCTTCGAAATGACATATATAAGAAAAAGCATTTTTTGTACATTTTTGCTCATGGTTAAAAAAAAGGGGGGGGGAACAGGGTTAAACCTTATTTTAACATGATGTTATTAATCAGTTAAAAATAGATGTAAGAATGAGCTGAGCTTGTTGACAGTAATAAAAAATAAATTATGAAATTATAAATTAAAGACCCTAATCATGTAGGCTAGTGGGTATATTTGGAATGTTAAGGCCATTACAGTGAATTAAATCTGATGATGTTCCTCAGATACCACAGCAAAAGACAAAATATGTTGCTTTCTATAGTTGCCCACCTTGCCTGTGATGGGAGCTTTCCAAGCAGAGTCTTTTGTAAAGATTGCATTCCAACAAGAGGACCTCAAGATGTCTTCCTTTCTCCAGTGATTAGTTGTCCCCCATTCTTTTAGGGATGTAAATAATCCCTTCCCTGTGGGTAAGAGACCCCTGTAATATATAGGTAGGGTTGGGAAGAAGGGAGTACTATTTTGCCTGGGTTCAAGACAGGAAGAGAGCTGTCTTCAGATGACCTGAAATAGCTATAGCACTTAGACTTAAATACTGCTCTCTCTAAGCAGTTTAAAGAGTCAGCATATTGCCCCCAACAATCTGGGTCCTCATTTTACCAACCTCAGAAGGATGGAAGGCTGAGTCAATCCTGACTCAGTGAGAATCAAACTGATGGCAGTTGGCAGAATTAGCCTGCAATACTGCATTCTAACCACTGTGCCACCATATGGCTCTTAGTTGAATGTCAGAATAGACAAGTGATATATACCTACAATGTCAAGGGTTCATGTACAAACAATTCCATCTACCCTCTATAGATAAAAAGAACTCAAGCCAGCCTCTGATTTTTGAAGCTTTTTGTTTCTGAATCAAAGAGGGTTAATTCACCAGTTATCTTTCTCTATTTTTAAATTATTTTTAGCCAAATAAAAGGAATCTGCTGTTGTTTTTTTCAAAACAACAATAACAAAAAATAAAACTTCACTGGCTGTGCTTCAGGGTTGGAAAGCCGTAAATCAAGAGTACATACTCACAGGGCTATCGAAGGACAACGGCCATGAGATGAAAAAAAAAAGAAGAAAAAATGCAAGCTGAATTTAGTTTTGTAAATAAAATGGGACAGGTTAAGAATGCCAAGCAGTATAGCTGCCCTGATGGGCCGAAAGGAAGAAGACATTTTTCTCCTGAGAAGCTGCTGGTCTGAGTCAGGCAGTGGTCGAAACTCAAAGTCCTCCCCACCACTCCTTTGGAGCTGTATTTTTCAGACCTCCTACAGATAGATTATTCTTTCTGCATACTAGGTCTCCTTCCTACCCCTGGAGCTCTGTGGATTTAGGAACTTAATGCATATTCTCATTTCAGCCCTGGGAGCTGAAACTATTAGGCTTCATTATCTTATGGTGTAGCCTGGTAGCGCTCCAAAATGGATTGGTTGCTTTTCTTGCATTCTTTGCTGGCTGAAGACATGTGACAGAATACAAGCTGTTGTTCAGGAAAAGGTATACATGTGCCATGAGTGATGTCAGATACAGAGTTGTGACAGGTGCAGAGAATGGTTTTGGAGTTGAAAGAGGGAAGTGTCAGCATGCTCAAAGGAACACACCAGATTTAGAAGGATGGCAACCTAATTGGACTAAAAGAAAATGAGCAAAACAGCTCTTAACAGCAATACAATAGAACTAAACATCAGCAGTAGGATTAGATGCTGGCCGACTGCAGGAAAAACAAAATGGCTGGGTGTGAGAATGTAATGGAGCGTACAATAAAAAAAGTCTTGGCAGCTTGGTGGAACCTTAAAAGAAGAAAATTGATTTGATGGGGATCACATACAGTACTGTCAAAATACGGCTTCTTGATTGTGGTTTAGTGTGTTATATAAATCCAGGTAATGCGGTTTTATGACTTAATGTACATTTAAACCCTAATTGTGGCATACTGAGCCATGACTTAGCATGACGTATCAACCCAGTTTTTGTTGCAAATCCCACTGACCCATTTTCCCCTCACATAAAAACACTTTCAGATTCTATGGGACAATCTCAAAATCACAACACCAGAATATTTCTGATGCAGCTTCTGCTTAGTCAGAAGTCAAAAAACTGGTCGGCAAACTTCAATAATGTTAATGGCTCAATTGAGCCAACCAGGAAAAATACAGTAGTCCAACGATGAAAAGAAATTGCTGTCGCTGATACAAAAGTGGGCTACCATTTCCTATTCCTTTATATTTGAGAATGTGGCTAGTTTTGGATTATGTAACTCTGTTGGCTGGGGATTTGGGAGTTGAAAGCAAACATACTTGAAGGCCATCTAGTTGGAGATGGTTTTGAAGAAGCTGTGTGATGTTCACTGGCAGCCTATAGAACATCATAGAGTTCAGATGAGTTCTCTTCATGCTGTGCTTATGAGCACCCAACATGAGACCAGTCTTTGCTGGAAATTCACTACTCAACCTTTTAGTTTGCCACAGCATGTTTTTATCATGTATGAAATTGTTAAGCATCTCAGAACAAGTTGAAGCTTCATATCTAAATTTTAATCATGTTTAGTCCAGTATTGTATTACATTGGGAGAAGAGATGCTGTTCCTCTTCATTTTAAATCCCACAATTTCTATTCCAAAGTGAGTTTTGAAATTTCTAAGCTTCGTTAAAAAAATAAGTCCAAATGAGTACATAAATTATTGTTAAAAGAAGATAAATTTCTAATTCCAGTAACTTTTTGTCCCTCTACCAAATCTATTCAGCTTAATCTTCTCACATTTGACAATCACATCACAGCTTCATTAGACAGAATACAATGATTTACACTGGCATTCTTTTTGCAAACTCAGTCAATGTATTTTTCCTAATATAGCAACTTTCTTTTCCCAAGCCTAAATAATTTAATCATCAGTGACTAAATAAGAATTGGCTGGTGTTTTTAAGCACAGATACAATGAGCGCAGCAGTAAGTTATTTTCATACCAGCATATTTGTGTATGAGAGGGAGAGATGTAAAAATAAGATTGGAGGACTCACAGATTTTTCTCTCCAAAACATTATGCAAACATAACCATATTTGGGAACAATTCTCTTAAGTTATTGCAACAGTAAAACCACGCAACATCTGTATGTAAAGTTCATCTTCCATTACACATATGAATCTTAAGGTATCAAAAAAGGAACCAAGCTCTCTCTTTAAAAATCAAGACCTTAAAACGGGTATTTCATACATTAAAAGTACACCTGCTGGCAAAGCAGCCTAGCAATGGAAAACGGCTACATGGGTTGATCCTACTTCAGGCCGATATTTTACAATGGCCTGTTCCTATTTGGAAGATGAGCCAATACTTCAAGTTCATTATTCTTGCTGGCTTAGATCATTTTGAGGAAGAGATTCTTGGACTCCACAAATCCAACTTTTGCAAATAGAAAAGCTGCCTTTTTATTGATTTCAGTACCTATCTTTGGGCAAGTAATTATTCCTTATCCTAGCCTATGTCTCTAGGCTGGTGGTAAGGGTGAGATTTATTTTTTTGATCCTATTCCACAGTTGGACAAAAGGATGGGTAGCATACATTGTTGACTAATCATTATAAAATCAAGCAAAAAGTCAGCATTTCCACTGACTTTTGACACAGTTGGACAAAAGGATGGGTAGCATACATTGTTGACTAATCATTATAAAATCAAGAAAAAGGCAGCATTTCCACTGACTTTTAACAGGATTACAGTTTTCATTTTGCAAATAGATGCCATGTAATTATAATTAATTGTTTAGTAGATTCTCCAAATTGTTTCAATCACTGGAAATCATATCATCTATAAACAGGAACAAATTTCAGTTAATTCACATTCTTGTGATTCAGTGTGACATTTAGCAAATTATGATTTCCTAGTCTTGAAGAGGATAGATGTACCAATTCCTCAAGATCTTCTTCTATTGCTCTAATAGGCAGGTAAAATGGCCTATCTCCCATGGGTAGAAAAGGTTTCTGCAGTTCAAATGTTGGGAAACAATAGGATTGCAACCTTTGGAAAAGCAGTTAAAATGCTACTTGTCCACAAAGCCTTCGGAGATTAAAGGTAGAGTGTAAAATTGCAGTTTTCTTGGCAAGGTTTTTCAGAAGTGATTTACCTTGTCCATTTCCTAGGACTGAGAGAGAGGAACTGGCCCAATTGGCTTTGTGCATAAGGCATTGGAATTCAGTTCTCCCGGTTTCTAGCCTTAACCACTAGAGTGCATTGGCTTTATCATATATTGGTAACACTGAACTAAAATATATAGTCAGGAAAAGAAATCCAAAAAAACAGTATTTCTGAACATTAGATAAAAAACATTAACCCAGTGTACAAAGTTTGCTGAATAACTAAGTTCTATTCTAGCTATTTGTACCATAATTGTGTATTGTATTTCAGTTGGTTGCAGATTAATAAATAACTGTGAAGAGTTCATTGTGCCTTGGGTATATAGATCAGGCTACTTCTATTTTTATCTATTATCCAAACCCTTTTGTTAGCAGCGAAAATAGTTTTCATAGTCCTGTCTCCAGCTTCCGGAGCACCTCCGGACCTCAGGGGGAAGCCATTTTCGCCCTCCCAGAGGTCCGAGGGAAGCCTCCGGACCCAGGGGAAGGCGAAAAACAGCCCTCCTGGAAGTTCCGGTAGGCCATGCCCACTATTGCCACACCCACCCAGCAATCAGGCAGCGAACTGGTTGCTGGGATTTTTGAATACCACCCCTAATGCTCAGGCTCTTTTAAGTTGTGTAAAACAGAGATCTTTTCTGAGTGGCTGAGGCAATTTGTTCTCATTTGGTCTTCATTTTCAGGAATAAGATTAGCAGATAATCAAGAGGAAAAAAGAGAAATGTGTAGCCTATACTAATTAGTGATACTTTATAAATTTAGTATATAATAAATGAAGTTTCTGATGACACATTTATCTCTGCCTTAGGTATCAGGTGTGTGATGGCGGCTACACTCTGTCTTGTGGGTATTAATACATTCTTCCAAAGTCGCTATTGATGTCTTACCTTCATCTTCCAAATTGCAGTGTGGTCGGTAAGTCAGCATCTACTGCAATCATAAAAGTACACTTTATTTTGAATGAATCAAAAATCTTTTAATACCTCTTCAACATTGGAAACAGAGACCGGGCTTCTACACTAATACAGCAGGGGGCTTTAGTTCACTTTGTTTCATAAGTAAGTGGACAGGTATTTTTTTACTCAATTGTTTAATTAGGTTCTCTTTATCTAGTTTTAGGGCTTGTATGAAGAACAGTTCAGGTAGTATTTATGCAGAAATATTGAAAATTCAAAAGGGTTCACAAAACTTTCAAGCACCATTGTATTCCACCAGCAATAGTAAGGGTCAATAAGTTTATTATTTTCTGCTATTGTACCTTACACATTAAAACTTTACACATTATATTCCTAGTCTGTGGCTTAATTTACTGCATTCTCAGTTGTACAGGTCGGAGAGTCCAAGAGAGAGTTGGGCTGTCTCCTGCTTCCTTTCTCAAAGACGGAGACAATCAAAGTGTAGTCCAGCCCCCTTTCCACTGCGCATGCCCAGTTTTTGACTCTGTCTTCATGCAAAGAGGACACGAGGAGAGAGTGCTCAGAAAGAAAGATAGAAAATATAGGCTCAACGCTTTCGATTATTTGAGAAAAAAAAAAGAGAAAGAGTGAGTGTCAGCAAACCGTGAGTAAGCGAAAGAGCCGGGACCTCATCCCAATGCGGGAAAGCCCGCATAGCTGTTTGGTGTTAAGAGAATAAGCGGCAGCAGCCTCAGTAAGAGCGGGAGGGCTCTCGATCAGCTAGCAAAGAAGGACAGCAAATTAACTCAGCTTTCCCAGAGCCTTCATTAAACAAACCAGAAACCGCACAAGCCTCCAGTGCTCTCTTTAATTGGACGCAAACTCACTTTTAGGCTGAGCAAGTTTCCATTACAGCCACACACGCCTACCCAGGAGAAAGGGAGGCTAGAGTCCATGCTCAGGCCGGTCTGAGTATAATCTATCGGCAAAAGCCAAAGGGAAAGATCATGGCCGACTTTTCTGAAACAGAGGCAAGCCTGGAGGAGCAGGAATCCCCTGCCCCCAGTTTGAGCAGAGAGCAAAGCACAAAGGAACCCAGAGAGGCTGGGAGAGCTTCAGAAAGGCCTCTCAGCAGGGTGTCCAAGGCAGATGAGAGGGAGGCATTAAGGAGACAAAGGGCCATTGAGAAATGCCTCCCAAGGCCGGAAAAGGAGGCGAAGAATGGAAATTCCCGCGCTCCAACAGGCAAACCAATGAAAGCAAAGTATCAGGAAAGGAGCGCAACGCTAGAGGGCACTGAAAATCAGCCTTTCCAGCCTGCTCTTTGTGTGAACGAAGGATTGAATGGACCAGAAAGACAATGCTCTCCGGCATGCAATGAAGAGCCCTCCCCCAAGAGAAAGAGATTTTCAACTGAGTCTAGTTCTTCCTCCACAGCATCGGAAGTCGGGGAACAGTCCTTTAAAGAGGAAATGAGGACTATGATGAAAGAAATGATGGCAGAATTCAGGGACAGTCAGGGTAACAGACCCAGCCTGATGCATAAGGAGAGGAGGCAGGATGCTCATCATCATTCTACTCAAGCAGGAGAAGTAAGGGAGGAACGGGGCTTCCAGGGAGAAAGTTCCAGTAGATCAGACACTCACAGTGAGGCCTCTGTTTCAAGAGAGGAAGAATGTAGGGAGTCAGCTTTCTCAGATGAAGAACCAGAAATTCCAATGTTCACAGGTCTATTTCGTCACCAGCTCTTTAAGATGCTGCTGGGGAAGGCTAAGATAGCAACAGGCCTGGGGAGAATCACAGGGACAGAACGGTCTGAGTTAGAACCATCTGATCCCAAAGATAGCTTTTTTTTTGCCAGAACCAAGGTTGAAAGTGAATCCATACCTTCACCTGAATTGTTCAGGAAAGCGGTAGAAGGTCAGTTGGACAAACAAGTTATTTTCCCAAAGCCAGGGAGGGAATGAGAGGAAATTTTATAACGCGGAACTAGCGGACTTATTCCCAGTCCCCAAGATAGCCCAGTAGCAGCTTCCACGTCTGCTACAATGTTGGCTAACGAAGCTGAGGATGGTCTAAAGGGGAAGGATAAGAAAACAGAACAGACCCTACAAAAAGTTCACCAGGCCACAGCATGGGCGGTAAAGGCAACATCCACGGCATCATTTTTCAGCAGAGCAGTCCTGATATGGATTGAACAGATGCAGGAAAGGATGCCACCTGGCAATCTTCGATTGCAACAGGATTTGAACAAAATAACTGCTGTAACAGAGTTCATAGAAGACGCCACACTTAATGGGGTCAAGTACGCAACTAAGGCCATTGCAGTTTCAGTAGCTGCAAGGCGACTTGTTTGGTTCCACCATTGGCAGGCAGATCTGAAACATAAATGGAAACTGGCATCAGCTCCAGTTAAAGGGGACAAACTTTTCGGGGAGGCCATGGAGCCATTACTGATTAAAACCAAGGACAAGAGGAAGGTCTTACCCAGGAAACTTGGTCAGGCAGGTAGGCAACCTTCTCCATATACACGGCAACAGCCCTTTCCTATACACACAGAGACGGTACACGCAGACCCCTACTAGACATCCAGATAGGTCAAGATTTAGTGATGGGGTGGACAACGGTCCCAGGAAAGGCGCCCCTTCTGGAGTTCGACTGGCAGGGCCTTCCGGCATACAAAGTGACAGCCGGAACCTTTCTCATTTGTTTATTTTTCTCCTTGCCTTTTTCCCCCCCTTGTCTCTCCTCCCCCCTTTTCTTCTTCTGCTTACTCACTTTCTGTTGTTTTCTAACCTTATATCCAGCTTTCATCTCATTTTTCTCTTTTTGGATTGTTTTCTCTACCCTTAAAATCCCCTTTTTCTTTTCCTCTTCCTCCTCCTCCCCAAAGTGAACCCATTGCTCATCCAAAATGGCTTCTTCTTCTTCTTTATTCCAGTCGTCCTGCTGTGTTGTCAATTTTTCATAGGTGCGTAACGCCATTTCTAAAAATTGAAAAAGAGTGCCCCGAGAATCTTTTCCATCTTGCTCTTTCTTATATTTTTGGTATTGAGTTTTTAATTGATCCAAAAGCAATGCCATCCTGAAGAGAAAGATTTCTTCAAAAACAACCACCCAAATATTTTTAATCAAGAGTAATTCCAAAAGAATTCCAAAGTCACTAAAAAGTCCAAATGACTGTTTCTTTCAATACTTTTTTTTTATCCTCTTCAATTTCTCTTTATGGGGTTACTGATTGATCAAAAGGTTCCCATTAAAGTGTATCTTTCTTTAAAATTCTAGGTAGTCTCCTCCTTTTTCAAGCTCTGCTCCAAAAAATTTTTTCCTCTCCCCCCACTTACAACAAGAATTTCCCTTTAAACGCTCAGAAATCCATACCTCCAATTCAGGCTTTCCAATTTCTGAGGATGTTAAGTCCAAAGTCCAAAGTCCAAAGTCCTTTCTCTGATAATTTTCAGGTTAAAATATCTTCGGTGCCCAATGCATTTTCCAGTTCTGCATTTGATACTTCTGTGGGGTGGGAGAGTAAGTAGAAAAAAAAAGGTTTCCCTTAGCAGCTTTCTCCACCGCTGTCTCTCTTCTTAGGGATACAATGTATCTTTCAGGCAATAAACAATTCCACTCCAGGGTTTTAGAAGCTGTTATTTTCCCGGTACAGCCAACACTTTCACGGTTTAAATCTTCCTTCTCCTCCTTCCTCCAGCGCAATCTTTTCCAGCTGCCAGCTTCTTGGTGGCAGCCATTGCTGACCGCCGCTACACCGCCTTGAGAAAAGGAGGTTAAGCTGGGTGAGGAGGGGGTCTGCGACACTTCCAAACCCCTTCCCAGATCATCCCTATCTTCGGCTGCCTCTACAGGGCAGCCTTATCCTCCAAATCCATCTGGATCAGAGGCACCAAGACGGCGAGCACAGCAGGGATCGCAAAGAAATGCAAATCCCTGCTGTCGCCGAAGCCTGGCAACCTGGAAGGCCTAGTTCTAAATGTTCAGAAATCTTTATTGTCCCCTTGGCATTTAATCCAGTTGAATTACCTGTTGGTGCCCAAGCGGATTTTTCCGATTTCTCATTCATCTGCTGTCAACATAAGGAAGGAGAGTGAGAAAAAAGAAACTTTCACTTTTCACTTTCATTTGCTACTTCTGAATCTTCTTTGGGAGCGATGTATCTTTTAAAAGATTTAAATTCCAGGGTATCTCAGTTGTTGCTTCTTATCCCGGTCAGCCAAAACTTTCACTTCTTAACTTCCCCCTGCACTTTCTTTTCCGGCTGAGTGCTTCTTTGAGGCGGCCATTTCTGACCGCCACTCTTGCTGCCTTCGGGAAAGGGAGTTTTGCCAGCTGGGGAGGAAAGATGCGGCTTCCCTCGACCCTGCTGGGATCTTCCCCCCTCTTTGCACACCTCTACGGGGTGGCTTAGCCCCGAAGCCAAGTGGCTCGGGACACTCCAGCGGCGAGCCCAGGCAGAAACTGCGCACGATCGTGGATTCCTGTCTGCCGCTGAAGCCCTGCAAACCGGAAAAGGCATCGGGAGGGAGGGTGTAGACCAATTTTGGATCTCAAATTACTAAACAGGCACATAGGATACAGGAGATTCAAGATGCAGTCCCTGCAAGCTATACTAGGGAGCATAAGGGAGGGGGATGTCCTGACATCAGTAGACCCCACAGATGCTTACCTACACTTACCTATTACCAGGAGGCATCAGAAGTTCCTGCGGTTTTGTTGCACAGGGAGACACTACCAGTACAGGGCTCTACCATTCGGCCTGTCTTGAGCGCCAAGGACTTTCACCAAGGTCCTGGCAGCAGTAGCAGCCTTCCTCAGGACAAAGCCCAAATGGGTCCAATGCTACTTAGATGATATATTAATACAGTCAATGTCGACTCTAAGAGTACAGAGCAATCTAGAAACCATGATACAGACACTACAAGACCATGGCTTTTCGGTGAATTTCGAAAAGAGCCACTTAGAATCGACCAGGCGATTACAACACTTAGGAGCTATAATAGACACCAACTCCTGCGAGGTTTACCTATCACAGGAAAGGCAGAACAGCATAAGGTCATAAATAAATCAAGTGAGCACAGCTCTGGGGGTGTCCCTGGACTTGCTGTCACAAATACTAGGGAAGATGATATCATGCATCTCGATAGTACCTCGGGCCAGGCTGCACACAAGGACATTGCAGTGGTTCCTATTACCTTACCAGAGAGCAGGCAAGGGCAATACAGGAACCAAGGTATGAGTCCCCCCCACTCCCTGAGTGAAGCAGTCACTCCAGTGGTGGAGATCACCCGCAGTGACAAGGGGATGGAGATCACCCGCAGTGACAAGGGGAACCCACCCGACTATCACAACAGAGTGTGATAGTCAAGTTTGATAAGCTGGGGAGCCCACTGTTGGAGCCAGATTACAGAGGTCAGTGGTCTCAGTCAGACCTCAAAAACAACAACAACTGGTTGGAGCTCAGGGCATCTCATCTGGTTCTAAGGGCCTTCAGGTCAGTGATAGTGGGACAGCATGTGTTGATCCTGACCGACATGACTGTCAAAGCTCATATCAACAGGCAGGGGGGGTACTCACTCCCTAGTGCTCATGCAAGAAGCAGAGCGATTGGGCCGCTGGGCAGAGACGCACCTTCTATCGATCAGGGTAGATATCGGGAGTGGAAAACGTTCAGGCAGATAGGCTCAGCAGAACAATGGTCGACCACTCAGAGTGGCGCCTACACCCAGACCTGTTCAAGGAACTGTTGCACAGATTCGGGAGAGCAGTCCCGGACCTGTTTGCGATGCCAGCAAATGCACAACTCCCAAAATTCAACTCGAGATTCCCAACACAGGGAGCACCAATACGCTCCAAGAAGCATGGCCAAGGGGTTTGCTCTACGCATTTCCCCCATTCCCCTTGATACACCAAGGGTAATCAAGAAAGTGATAGAAGAGGGGGCGGAGGTCTTAATGGAAGCACCTCACTGGCCCAGGAGGTCTTGGTACACGGATCTGGTAGATCTGTCGGTATCCAGACCATGGAGAATTCCCCCAGACAAGGTAGAACTGAGTCAGGGAGCCATACGACACCCAGAGCCACAATGGCTGCAACTAACCGCATGGCACTTGAGAGGACCACGCTAAAGCGTTTAGAGTGCTCAGACACTCCAGGCATCCAGGAGACCATCAACCAACAGAATTTATGATGCTACTTGGAGAGCATTTGGAACCTGGTTTTCCAAGAAACAAATAGATCCAAACCACAGTGTTAGTTACTCAAGTGCTGGATTTTCTCCAGGAAGGCCTGAAGAAGGGTTTAACCCCTAACACCTTAAGGAGGCAGGTAGCAGTGATAGCTTCAGTGTTGGGTTGCGGGACCTCAGAGTCCCTCTCACGACACCCCCTAATCCATACGTTCATCAGGGAGCAACCAATCTAAAGCCACCAGTGATACACAGGTACCCTACTTGGGACTTGACAAGGGTGCTAAGGGCGCTCATGACTGAGCCCTTTGAACCGCTGAGGTCAGTAGGACTTAAGGTGGTCTTCCTAATAGCCATTACATCAGCCAGAAGAATTTCAGAGTTGGCAGCATTATCCGTGAGGGAGGACCTCTGTATAGTTCACCCGAATAGGGTAGTATTAAGATTAGACCCGACCTTTATCCCAAAATCAATTCTATGTTCCATAGAGCACAAGAGTTAGTACTACCAGACTTCTGCCCAGAACCGCTCCATGGCCTAGAAAGGAAGTGGCACTCCTTGGATGTTAGGAGAGCTATACGCATTTATATTAAGAGAACAAGGTCCATTAGAAAAACAGAAGCATTGTTCATTTCATTCAGATTGAGTTCCTTGGGACAAAGGGTTTCACCGTCTACATAGGCAGATGGATCAAGACATGTATCACAAAAGCTTATGAAAGTCAATCATTGCAATTGCCAGGTAACATAACAACACATTCAAACAGGAGTGCAGCCACATCAGCAGCATGGAACACACAGGCCTCAACTGAAGAGATCTGTAGGGCAGCAACGTGGTCATCACCATCTCCATTCATCAGAAATTATAAACTGGATACATTTGCATCAGCGGAAGCATCCTTTGGAAGAAGAGTGCTACAAAGAGTCCACACGGAGATGGGGGCTTGGGACAAGGAGTTGGCCCACCCTCAGGACAATTAGCTTGGGTACGTCCCACGCTTTGGATTCCCCGACCCGTACAACTGAGAAAGAGCGTTGGGCTTACCTGAAACGCATCTTCTAGTTGTACGGGAGGAGAGTCCAAATCCCACCCTTAGATAGTTAGTCCCAAGCTCAGAATGGTCAAGAACGAGCACCAAAGAACTCTCCAAGTCAATCATCAGCCTTCATCAAAAACTGGGCATGCGCAGTGGAAAGGGGGCTGGATGAAACTTTGATTGACTCCGTTTTAAGCAAGGAAGCAGGAGACAGCCCACGCTTTGGATTCTCCTACCGTACAACTAGAAGATGCGTTTCAGGTAAGCCCAATGCTCTTTTTCATGGCAAGTACTCCAGTATAAACCACCTGCTTACCTCCATCCAATATCCAGTTCTTTAGTATTAGCCTTCACTATCTCTTCCCATTTTGGCATCCACTATATTGTAATTGTCATTCTCTGAATTTCACTTTAACAATGCCTCCAGGTTTGGGAAGGCTATTCTCGGCTTTCTGGCCATTTGGGGACCTTTAGTTGTGTTGTTGTTTCCTCATAAGCATGTCTTTTCTTTTTTACAGGCTTTTTAAAAAAACCTCACACAAGCGTGGATTCCTTCAAGACTTTGCCACAGCCTCTATCACACATCTTCTTAAAAATAAAATAGAAAGTATTGAATAATAATGGTTATGATAAAAATGCCAAATCCAGCCTAAATATCTGGTTGACTATGTGATGAACCATAATAATAATATGTTCCTCTTCTACGATGTATAAAAGTTCAAGCGTTTAAATTCTATAAGCATGAATGAATTTCTGGTTTGAAAAAAATTATTTTCAAGCAGAGCAGCAAAGAGAAGAACTATTTTTTATACCAAGCATTTTAAGTAAGAGGACTGTACCTTGGGTGGAAGAACTGATTACTGTATACGTTTGATTTTTAAATATGTATAATCTCCTTTCCCTACCACCCTTTTAAGATGCATGTTCAAGGCATGTTTTTAAATCTGGTTCAGATTTTTTTAAAAGTGTATTGTTTGAAATGCACATTTTGGTCATCAGGTTTTGGAGCCTGAGATGATGTTTGAAGTGTATTCCTGTTGTAGTTATTTTCATGTTTCGCCTAATTGTGCCAAATTATATTGAGCAAGACAATCAGCAATATAATAGCTTTTTCATGATTGTAACAGTTGGTGCGCTGTATGTTAGCAGTGCCTGATGCTAGTTCCTGCTGTATTTTTTTTTCTCTATATTTGGATATGCAATTGTGTGGGAATAAGAAGTAGTACACTGTAGAAAGTAGAAAGGCAATTTCTATTATGAATGGAAATGTGCAGTCATAATTATGGACATTTCTACAACTGTGTCTATTCATAGTATACTTTTCTTCAGACAAATATATCTCATGCAGTTGTGTTATTATTTAGAAAAGGAAAAAGGAAAAAAACCCTGGTATTTGTGAGAATCCATCCTGGATGACCAAGCTGCCCAGGAAGTTATGTACTCCAAATCATGTTTCTTACATCCATATCATCTACTTTTGTAAGAACTTATACACTGTGTGTATCTTTGGAAGGTAGTTTAGTTTTGTGGTTTTGTTCCAGATATAAAGCAGATTGGTTCTGGTCATTTATTGTTAATCATATTCTTGGGGAAGGTAAGAGGTGACTGGACCATTGACCCAGAAAACTGAACTTCAGCTGTTGATCCCAGCATTTCATGCTGATGAAAAATGCCAAAGGTTTTTGCTGAATCTGATTCTAATGAAATGGCCATTGTTGGGACATTTGGCTTGCCAGCTATTCTTGATTTTTCCCAGATAATCTCAGTAGTAGTAGTCCGTCCCAAATCTATGCACTGATGCCAGACAGTGGATTTTGAAGTGGCAGCAGTAGCAGCCCCATTGCCCTCATGGTCAAAACTCCCTGCCAGGAAGAAATCTTCAAGTGCCCACTTTTAAATAGCTATTCAACTTCACCTACTGTATGTCTGTGCTTTTGGGGGGAAAAAAGAGAATAGATAAAGCTGCCTCTCAAGGAACAGAGCCATACTGGGAATGATTTCAGGCACAGCGTGCCAAGGAAAAGCTACTTCAAACTTTCCACTTTCTTGAAGGGTTTTATCTTTAGGGGCCAGATAACGGCTGTATCCATATGACATTAGTCAGTCTGGATGGACTTTAGTACTACAATGGGACTCTGGAACATTGCTTTTTTTTGGGGGGGGGGGATGTTGTTTTCTTTCTATTGAAGAGAAAAAAAACTATCCCACAGATCAACTTTAGCTCAGGTGTGACTCACAAATTCACCTGTAACCAAAGGCTGTACCTCTTAGAAGCTAATGACCTGAATTACAGAGGGTTTTTTAAAATCTGCTTCCTGTTTCCACTTTACATGGATATATATGGTCTATTGAATTGAATACAGCTTGCTTCTAAGTGCATAAGATTGGACCTGCAGTTCTTTGGACAGCTAGGAATGCAGCTACCTAGGGCAGAAGAGTTCCTATATCAATCATTCGCGTAAAATTATTCTTCCCTCAATTGCTGAAGGCTGCCAGTGCCAGAAATCCCTCCCTGTTCTCCCTTCAGCTGCTAGCCCACAGATTTTACAATAGTGACAAGTCTGGCTCTGCTGGCTTGCTTAGTAGGGAAGCCAATAGGGTTAATAGGGTCAAACTTTTATGAAGCAGCTTCTCTGCCAGGATTATTATCACTTATCCTGAAATAAGATACATTGGTTTGTAAGAAATATAAATTATATGTCAAAATGTAAAAGACTTTTAAGAATGCAAAATTGCAAGAGGGTTGCTTGGCTTGTTCTCCTCTGGAGCTACAAGTCCTGAGAGTTGTACTCTGAACACATCATAAGTGTCCCAAGCTGGAACTGTAAAATGCCCATTACTAAGCAAACAATATGGATAAATTGAGAAAATTTAAAATATAACTGTAGGTGGTTAAACAACCCTAAAAATATTTGTGCTGGATTGTTTCACAAAACACTTGATTTTTCTCTACAGCCTTTTTACTGGCAGTAACTGAATTATACAATGCTTCCAATTTGTCTATGATTTTTTTTTAAAGAAAAAAGTTGTTAAAAGATACTTTTCTATTATAATTTTCTAAAAATAAAAGCAATGAATAAAATGAAAATATGGTCTATGCTACGTCTGTTATTTACTTGTATCCATTTGAAGAAATCAGAATATGTGACAATCAATGTTAAAACTTAGTTTTAATACCTTGCCCCAGCTCAGTTTTCATTTATACTTCCCTCTTCCATAGTTAATTGGAAAAATCTGAACATGGCTCAATACTAGCTACAAGTCAGTGTTGGCACAGATACCTCCTAAAGATTACCTCAGATTCTGAGACTTATGACAGGTAGTCTCCACAAATCACTATCTCAGAACTTGTCCTTAAAATCACAGAAAACATGAAAATCATAAGAAAAAAAAATTAAAAAACCCAACCATCTCTGTTAGGAGATTGAGAGAAGTTCAAATAGGAGAGGCTAAGAAAAACCACTTCAGAGTCCTATCTTCAATGTAAAAAGGGCTTCTCCCTTAGAGCACCTTCCCAATGCTAAATACCCCATCCTGTTGACCCTGGCAAAAAAATTGGGTAGAAACCTGTCCCCTAATCAACTGGAGAGGATTTGAAGAAGCTTCCTGAATGAGAAGTGAAACTTCTTCAAGGAATAGAAGAGAATAACACAGTTGGAAGGGACCTTGGAGGTGGTCTAACCTCCCGTGTTGGAAGGAAAACAAAGAAAGTCCAGTTGCCTTTTGAAAAAGTACCTTTGGGACAACCATGACTTGAATGACTGAGAATCCCCATAGACATACAACTGGAGAGAATCCACTCTATTAGTTCTCAAGCTAGCCACTTGTAATGAGTCACTGATCTGCACTCAACAAGGTAAGAGCAAGAGCCACAAACTTATACAGATCTTATATAAAATATTAAAGGCAGCATGCATATACACTAAAGAAAATCCACAATACAGGAATAATTTTTTTACAACTGATAACAAATGAGAATGAACACAGTACACATGGCATCCTTCATGGTGTGAGATCATTACAGATGCATTCTTAGAAAGATCACGTTGTAGCTTTGCTATTGAACTGAGCTAGAACCTGTTCTCCCAACAGACTGGCCCTGCATTCATTATGGAAGACGGAAGAGATAAGGAGGCATGACATGGATCCTCGAATCCTGCCTTTCAAGACAAGGACTATTTTAATCAATTAATCACTACCAGGCAGGCACCTACAAATGAAAAAACATGTATGTACACAGATAGCTCTCAACACACAACCTTTTGTTTATTGACCGTTCAAAGTTATAATGGCACTTAAAAGCCATTTGACCTTTGCAGCATCCCCATAGTTACATGATCAAAATTTGGACTGGCTCAGAATTATGACAATTGCAGTGTTCTGGGATTATGTGATCACTTTCCCAACATTCTGATAAGTGAAGTCATTAGGAAAGCCAGATCCACTTAACTATGTTACTAACTTAACAGCTGCAGTGATTCACTTAACAACTGTGGCAGGGAAGGTTGTAACATGAGGCAAAACCACTTAACTGTCTCACTTAGCAACAGAAATTTTGCGCTCAATTGTGATTATGAGGCAAGGACTACTTGTCTATGTATAGTATATCAGTAAGCATAAATATAATTGATTCATCCTGAGCTCCTATTCAAATCTCCATGCAGATTATTTGCTTCTTTCTTGTTTGCAAATGCTCGTGTAACATTTGCGGGTTAGAGTTTATAAGGCTTATAAGGTTTATAAGACTCACAGACCATTTTCAGTTCAGTACAATTTATAGAAGTCTGGGACAAGTGAAGAAACTGAGGTTCAGCTGCTGGAATAACACTCTTTTACATATGTCCCCCATATTTAAAGCAAAATGACTGAAGTATTGTAGTAATAATAACAGGAGTTTCCAATTTCTTAATTCCGAAACCAAGATTTAATCGTTTTCTACCTGACTCTGTAATAGGAAAAGGAATTCTAAAGGACCTGATGGTGAAATACATTTATTTTAACCAAGCCGAGCATATGCCTCTGCTGGTCGCTGAGCAGTAGGATTGTAAAAGATTCATGCCAACACGTTTGCAACTACCCAACTCCTGAGTCTCAAGATGGAAACAACACCATCACCATTATGACTTTGTGATCACTGCTACTTTCATCAGTCCTGAAAGCCTGGCACTCTCTCGTGTCCTATCACCAAGTTCTTTGTGCTAGAGAAAGTGACAGGAAGAGCCAAATAGGCATTTTTTACATATTTTCTCAAATTTTATTTGCTTTTCTCTATTCTCTAGAAGCTTGGAAGGACTATGATAAATTCTATATATCTCATGCATTACAAATAGCTTTATACCAGTGCTCTCGAGCAAACATACAAAATCTTGCTACAGTAGTTTTTCCTTTTCATGTCTTACTTCATAAAAGTATAAATATTAGAATTAAATTACCCTAATTTGTTCAATAACACCGAACAGATCTATATTTTTTACCACTAGTCTAATCCAATTTAAAAATTATGTTCTCATTTTGTGAAGCCAGGCTTTTTTCAGTGAGGCTATCTATACTCAACCCACATTCTTCTGGTTTCCTTGCTCAGTTTAATCTTTAAAGCCAAAAGAAAATCCATACTTAAATTTCCTCTCCACATTTGATAAGCTCATGGCCAGACCTCGCTTACTGCCTGATTAATTACATCATTATCAATTACTAAAACTATTTCTAGAGCAGCCATTTTTTGTTTCATTATCTTTCATTTCTGCAGAACAAGGTGTAAATGCACAATTTGTTCATATTAAATCAATTACCCATATTAAATGAATTATACATTCCAATAATTGGGAAGAGATATATTCTTACCTTCGCTTCCCCCAACTCATACCTTTTTCTTTCCTTCATCACAGCCAGCAGTCATATAATGAAAGGTCACTCTATCACTACACACGAAGAAGCAGACTTGTCTCTTTTTTTTTTAATTCTAAAGTAAATCACAAACAATACAAATACACTTGTGTGCAAAAATTAGGCACCCTTGGTCAAATTGTACACTTCAATAAATCCTTAAGCAAACAGAAAAATGGCAAAATTTCTACATAATACAAAACCACACAATAGTGTTCTACAAATTTCAATGCATACTTAACAATTTACGTGCAGTTATTTATAGATTCAAGGTAAGAAGATACTCGGAGCAGAAGTTTGGATACTCTTTCAGGCAGTACTTTGTAATACCTCCTTTGGGAGACATTTTCTGTAACCAGCTGAGTAGTTCTAAGCTTTGCTTTTGGAATTTATTCTCACTCTTCATTAACAGAACTCTTCCAACTCAGAAGTATTCTGAGACTTCTTGGCCTGCATTGTACTTTGGGATCTCCCCAGATTTTCAATAATATCTAGGAACTGGGAAGACCATTGTAAATCCTGTTTTCTTGTAACAGTTTCATTATTTATTTGGAGGTATATTTCGGCTCAAGGATTTGTGACATAAATGGAATGTTAACACAATCTAAAAGATACTGCATGGGCACCCTGATGGAATTGGTACCAGCAGAAACAACCAACTGAAATAGTCTTGAAAATTCAAATGGAATCTTCAGGATAATATAAGAAATGTCACTTTGTGGGGGAAAAAAGTAAGTATAAAAAAAGAGTTTTCATTTCTAAATAAAAGCTTCATCTTAAACTATTACCTAAAATATTATCTGTCTATATCTAAATTGAGTGTTGCCTTTAGCTGCTTTTCAGTCAAAAAGCATGGAAAACATGTGAAAAAAATCTTCAACTTTTTTGAATGATTTATTAGAAACATGTTTTCTTGACATCAAAAATCTTAAGGTTTATCTAGGTTACTCCAACTGAATAAATTGCCATAGAATGCCAAAGAATTCTTCAAAGAAATTTTAACTGATGAACATGAAGCTCAGCATTACATGCTAAATATATTTACCCCCAATATCAGAAGTCTACTGATAATGAATGGCTCTGATCCAAGTTTATATTAACCGGTAAAGTAAATGTTATGATGAATAGTTTATTCTTGATCCCAAAAGTTGTTGCTTTTCATCTGCTACAGAAATGGAAGAGGAAAGACCCACATCAGATATACAAAGGATATCTGTGTCCTAAGCATCCACATCAACATAACAGTTCAGTTCAGAAGACCAATTTATTTGCCAGGAACTACATCAGAATAATCCTTCAATACACCAGCCAAATGATCATTGTGAGTTTTGAATCTCCGTTTCTTCTGAGATGCTGGCTTCTTCCTCTTTTGGATAGGAGCCTAAAAATAAATAAATAAATAAGTCACATTCACGAGAGCCCTGTTCCCCGAAGGATTTTCCCGGGTAAGGATCCCATAATACACCCTTCTCAACTGTAGTCCCCCATCTGTGAAATATCTTGCTCCCCACCACTTCTATGATGATCTGCCACAGAGGGGAAAACCGGCTCATGGAAAGAGCACTGGAAAGGAATCTTAAGTTTGGAATCTGCCTCTTTGAACTGTTTCAATTATGGTTAATAGGTTGTTGTTGTTTTTTGTTAATTTTGTTCAAATCAAATCACAATTTGATTATGGCTAACTGCCAGCAAGAAAAAATAAACATACTTTAAATTTCAAAATGTATTATCTGTTGCATTCTTTAAGTTGGATAATGAAACTGATACATTGTAAGTGATCTGAAAAATCCAGCTGGTTAATAGAAAGGCTGCATAATAATCATCTGACCTTCCTGCTATTATTACTAAAAAACAAGATATTAAATTTTGACACAAAGCCAAATAAAATCTAAATGTAAAGGCATGTGTAATCATTTCAGTCTTTTTCCTGTTGTTTTTTTTAATTTTTGGTTCCTGCTGTCGCAATTGCTCTACTTGGGGTAGACAGCATAGAAATATCAGAAATAAACAATGAAATATATTTGAGCCTTTGGAGGATTGTACATAACCCATTTTTAAATAAGCAGAACATAAATTGTACAGGTAAGCCATCCAGTAATACACAGGTGTTTGATCCAGAAATTGGAAAATACCCAACATCAGTTTTGCAGATCCAAACCTTTTTTGAAACCTTTTTTGAAGCAGGGTGGCAAAATATTTTGGCTATTACTCATGAAGGCATGAGTTTTTAAAAAATGCTCTGGGGAGGTCCTGAGCAATCCCACCTCATCCCAAGACTGAAATTTTCCATTAGGGGATTAAGGGACAAAATGAGTATCTTAAATTAGAAAGTTTAAGACATCTACTTCTTTCTGTCCAATCCCCAAAAGATTTTGATTTAGAAATGAAGTACGCAAATAAGTAAACAAGTATGCGTGTCTTTCAGAACTGCAATGCTTTTGTTAAACAAATCCAATTCCACACAAAACTGCATACACTAACCTCCCATTGGGGCTCCGCTTTCTAAGATGTACACAAGCCCTACAGTTGAAAGGGCCAAAATGTTTAAACTGAGAGCACACATCACAGTTGGGGATTCTTGCAAAAAAAAATGATTGGTAGTACTGAGCAAAGGCACCAGAAACAGAAGAAGAGTGAACAGCATTCCCCTGACCACTCTTTCTAGTTAATAATTTACAACTCTTGTATTGCCAAACACTCAGCTTACTTTCTAAGCATCAGAGTTTTTGTTTCTTTTTTTGAAAAGGAGAAGCCAATTCTTTGTCTTTATTGTGGAACAGGGATAAACTACAGCTATATAGAACTTACAAGTGCATTCCATTCCAATCTCAAAAGTTAGTATATTTTTATTCTTGAAGACTGAAGGCCAGACCAGGTATTATCTGAACAAATGTGCAAACTCAGTTGCTCTCAGTTCAAGGCTTAGAACGTATACATTAATTTGGGGGTGTGGGGGGGGGGAGGACAGTTAAGCTAATGTCCCCATTTCTCCCATATTAGTGATATTTTAAAAATGGCTTTGTGATTCAAGTTTGTTCTTGCACCTCTTATTTTTCCAAGAAGCCAAGGCGCTTGCATGTGGTTTCAAATATATACAAAGGCCAGATTGTACAGTTTATTAAGCACTTGCTAAAAAAAAATCATATGGTAGTATTTGAAAGGATTTGTAATTCTGCTCCTTATGAATTTTGGAGAATTTTCTTTGTCCTGGACAGTGGGAGAAAGACAGATCTCTAAGTGAAATCATATTTCAGGATATTTTTGAATTTCTATGCATGGAACATTCTCTCCTCTCTTGGTGGCACTACACATATGAGTCTACATTGGCTGATCTTTGTCTTAGGAATCTATGCAGTCCAAAGCAAGTATCAGTCGGCAGGAAGGAACTAGGTCATTTCTCTGCAGTGGCAGTGGATTGCTATCTAAAGGACTGCAATGGGTACCAGTGAAGTCTCTAATAAGATCCAAATGACAGAAATGCTTCATTTCATGTTAAGAAAATGGATCTGTCCATTGCCTTGTAATCTCATTCTCTTAGGCAATTCATTCATCCTTCTCTCTTGCATTCTTAAAATATCTTCATTTCCTATAAATTAAGTATATTAATTCTGAAGAAAGAAAAGACTAATAGAAAGTTGCTTACTATTTTCTTTGGGCCTACATCTTGCATGGAAGAAATACCCTGGCGTTTCAGGTAGTCTTCTATCTTCTCTTCATCCATAGAATCCACAGGAACACTCCTCCAAAGTTTTTGAAATTCTAAAATCCCAAAATGAATACCAATTACTTTCCTTACTCCTTTCATAATTATAATGCTCAACTGGCATCCCACATTGACTGCAATGCTATATAAAATAGTAACAAGCATAACCTTTACTATGAATTGTACGGAATAAGAAAAAGGGGATAAGACACTATAAATACGTCAAAAGGGGCTAAGGTATTATAAATACACCAGGGTATTAGCATACAAGAATTCTAAGATAGAAGAGCTAAAATTAGATAATTACAAAATGATCTGCCTCTGCTCCCAGACTGGGAGGAGAGTCAGGTCCCAAGAGACTGATGGAACTCTTGAGAGTGGGAATTGGTATTTACTTTGCCCTTTTTTATTCACTGTGACACAAATACTTCATAGTGGTTGGTAAAACCTATAGATGTTTGTTATTCTGGACCGAGTTTTAGTGCATTCTTGTTCGAATGAGGACTTAGCTTACTGTGTATCTTATTTTGTTTTTTTAACCCAACGGGTTTTAACTAATGGATTGAATTCATTTCCTAATGAACTCATTGGCATTTTGGCAAATGGAGTCTCTCAGCCTAATCACACTATTCCAGTCAATGAAGGATATGCAGATAATTCTCAACTTAGGACCACAGTTGAGCTCACAATGTAAGATCACAATTGAGTCCACAATCTGGATTGTGTGACAATCACCTCAACAACTGCAATCCCAGCTCTCTCCATTGCGGTTAACGTGAGTACCTGTTCTTACAATATTTCTGAAGGCCAGAAAGAGCAAAATGCCATCTGTTACAATGTTCTGAAGCCTTTTCATCTTTTGGAAAAAATCGCATTGCCTAGTTTTCTACAATAATTGTGCCTGACATTGTTCAGCCACACTTGTCAGCAGTAACACAGAAAGGGAAGGTAAGCAGACCTATGTGGTGGGATGGAGAGAAGACCAAAGCCTTCTGGGAGTGGGGTGGGGTAAAGGGCCAGCCTTCCAGGAGAGTGGTGGAAAGGGGGAAAGGCCCATATACTGGTGTGTCTAGCTGGCTGAGGCCTCCCAACCTGCAATGGAGAAAACATGAGGGACTCCCGTGCTAGGAAAGTCAGGTGCACTGACAAGCGCCCCACATTTTTGTCATGTGACTGCAGAGTGCTGCAATATTCAGAACTTTGAGAGGGGATCATGTGTCCCTTCATTCAGCACCATCATAATTTCAAACTATCACTAAACAAATAAGTCAAGAACTACCTGTAAAAGTATCTGCTGTTTCTCAGTTGATAAACATTCTATGATTGATACACTGGTTTTGATTTATTTATTTATTTATTTTGGTGGATTGTATTTTCATCCAATCATTCTTTTATGAGGACCTAATAATAGCAACATGGGTTTGGGAATTTATTTCATAATACTTAGGATTGTTGTTTTTTTACTTCTTGCTATCAACGCATCCTTTGATATATTTGTGAGTATTAGCTCAGTATATTTGATATTAAGCAGTCATTGTACCCAACAATTTTAATATGCTAGGCAACTACTGCCATTAATATCTTATCCCACTGTTTCTCCTTAACATCAAAAGAAAATATAGCATTATCTTTGATGCTTTCTGATCCCCAATGGCAACATTATGCAGAAAAACCAGAGAACCCTGAATACAAGGACCTCACCAAACTGGAAAAAAGTGGGCCGTCAGCAGCCACATGTTCTCTATGTCATTTGTTTTGGATCCAAAGTATAAAAGATTCATTGTACTATATTCAAGTTTTTAAAATTGTATTATAATACAAAGTGACTTTGAAATAACTCCCAAATTCCTCAAGCCAAACATTTTGCCTCTTGATCACAGAAAATAAAGAGGACAAGAGAAGCAAAACTCAGATAAACTGCAGGCAACCTGCCTCCATATATCTTTTCAAGTGCTTTCCTGGAATGCCTTTATCAAGGCTGTGGCTGGTACAATTTCATTTCCCTTCATTCCATACTAATTAAGTCACAGAGTCTATCAATGGGCCTTGTTCACAAGCCATAAATAAAACACAAAGTATAAATTCAGGAATTCCTTTCAAGTATTTCTACCTATGTAAAGATTTGTTTTGGTGTACTGAATTAATAATTTGGGCAGCCTGGTGCAAACCAAAACAATAATCCATAACATTCTTTCTTTTATATTGGTTTTGCAGAGCTCTGCTCAATACACTGAGTGCCAGCTCTTGGATATTTTTCAAGTTGTGAAAATTCTGCTACTTCACCCTTCAAAACTGCTTAGGACCAAAAGCAATCTATTGGAAATATTATATTGTGTCTTGATTATAAAAGCAAATCCTGGTGTAAACATGTGTTTTGTGACTACAGAGAACACCAGTAAGTTTCCAATGTCCCCAACCAAGTGATCCCTGGTGCTACAGTTAGCAAAACATAGTCTCTGTATCAAGAAAGATGAGGTGCCCAAGGAAGCTGCCATACAAGGGCTCCCATTGATCTCATCAGTCATCCAGCTCAAACATCCATCTGTTGGGCTTCAACAACACTGCTGCCGAAATGAAGCCCAACACATAGTCATGTCCTCCAGATTGGGGCGAGTGATCCTTCCTGACGAAGGATCCGGGTTGATGACAGCTGACGACGCCAAAGGCAACCTCTTTCCCCTGTTGGGTGTACCCAATGCTACCGACAAAACGAAGCTTAATACATCAGCGTAGCTACCGGCTAGGAGACTAATGGATCATCTGTTCGGCACGACAGGCTGCAGGGTTGCCTTTTCAACTGTTCGGCATTTTGTAACTCTCTTGGCAAAACGCTTTTCCCTTTTTCTCAAAGCGCCCAGCTGGGAAACATTTTGAAATATAGTATAGGCTGGTCGGCGTGTCATATGGGGGATTGGGATAGAGACCCGGGGTAAAGGGGGGATGTTATCTGGGGGCTTTTGCACCATAGGTGGAATACGGGTGGGTGACGGATATTGGGTAGTTATCAGGGGCGGGTGTTAGCTAATGATTGGGGGTGGAAAGAGATTATAAAAAGCGCCGAGAGGCGGATGCTCTCAGCACTGGCTTTGCTCGGACTTACTGTTTGTTACTGCTGTAGGAGGAAGCCATAATAAACACGCATTGCTACACCAGGACTGTGAGTAAAGTGTTTTATTGAACCAGTTTCAGTGACCTCCCGTAAGAGCTGACACCACCCCTCACTACACAGAATTTGTTCTTTTTCATCCTTGCACATTTCTTGTAGTCTTATATTCTTATGGTTTCATATACACTGAGTATGCAAATCCACATTTATAAAATAGAAATGTTGCAAAGAAAGCATATTTTAAAATAACAATTACAATGGCACTATACAAAAAGCATTATACTGCTTCAATAGTCTCTGTAGAAAAAATTATTGCATTGTCCCCTCATGACTGGGAAAAACTAAAGCAGCTGCTGGTCCTTAATTACTATGGTAATTGTACTAAAAACACAGTTAATATAAGAGGAAGTATAATACTTGAAAACTATCTCAAACATGCAAAATAAAGGTGAATAAAAGCAATTTAAATAATTAACTGTCCTACTGACTCAAAATAGTATTTTAATGAGGTGCAAACTTAATGAAATGAAACATCAAACACAGTACATAGAATTATGTGGTTGGAAGGGATCCTGGAGGGTTTTCAGTCCAACCCCCTACTTAAGCAGGAGACACTATCCATAATATCCTAACATCCAGAACATTACAATGGCTCTGATCTTACATACTACCGTTATGAAATAAGCAAGATGTAAAAGTCTCAGTAAAAAGTCTACAGTATTTAACTCTAAAGTCAAAACATTAGCAACTTCAGGTTGTTCTCAACTTACCCAATTAAGCATTTTGATTAAGCCAAACTCTACTTAATGCTTAGAGGCCAGAGGTAGCTCAATAAAATCTTGTTTGCTACACATCCTTTCCTATATATTTTCAACTATATCATATTTATTTAAGCATTTTTTTCTCTCTAAAACCTTCCCACAGTACTTGGCTGATTAACCCTAATTGCAGGAAAAAAAGCTTTGGCCCAGAAACCTCAAGTTTATGTTTCCAGAGGGAGGGTAAAAGATTCCATGTCAGTCCTTTCACTATTGAAGTAAAAACAACAAAACCCTACAAATGGATATTTATGATAGGCTTTAAATCTATTTTTAAAAGAAAAAAAATGCATATAATAGGAAGTAGCCCAATTATGAAATAAGTGTACCTGCTACCTGATCTAATTGTGAGTATTTCAAAGAGGGAGCAGAAAAGCAAACTTTATTTTAACTGATTTAAATTTGTGTGTAGTAACTATCAAAGTACTGGATGATCAGAGTCCCACTTGTTTTCAGGAAAAGGAGACTGCAAAATTAAGTAAAAGAAAGAGCACTCAATGATTCTTCACAGTTCCCAGGTTTATAACCTTCATTTCCTTAAATGACACAAGAAAAGAAGAAAGATATTTCATTTAGTTACTCATTTGTCAATTATGGAAAAAGGGATTCCCTCAACATATTTTTCCCAAAGGGAAAAAAATAGATACTGTACAATCAAGTATTGTCTTTTGCTTAATGTGAATGTTCACCTTTCTATTTTTAACCTCCCCCTATATCCCAACATTATCTTATTAGGTTTTTGTGCAAACAAAATTCAAACACATTAATACAAAAAGCTACATATGAGGTTAGTGGAAGATTCCTCCCCCACTCCCCCCAGGTATTGCACACTGCAGGAAAATAGTAATGATAATTAATCAGTCACTTAAGAGAGATACTGTGGATTGCTGAAGCTGAAGCAGAATGATGAATGTTTATACCATTTTTCTTTCTAGTGATTCCTTATCTATTTCTAAGCATTTCTAAATACTGTGATTTAAGGTAAATAAATAAAAACAAAGAAATGATGCTCCAACCCATTCTTAGAATATCAAAATGAATGGTAGTTACACTCCAACGTTTACTTAGCTAGGGAGATATGAGATGACCTGATAAGGACTGCCTTAGGGATGCTGGAGGAGGTTGTGGGAAA